AATGCCATGATACTCTCAAAAGATGCACCTCTAAGACCATCTATGGGTATCATTATATTAAATATGATTAATATAATCAGAAAAGTGAATTTTAGAAAGAAAAAGTTGTTGAACCGTGTCAATGTATTGATCTAGTTGATTTGTATCAACTGTGCCACGTGTCGGACTGTTATTGGACCGGCTAAAAAAATTTTTCCTACCCAAACCGAGAAGACAAAAAAAAATCGCGACAGAACCCATCTCTCTCTCGATCTTCTTCTCTTGCGATTGAAAAGGAGATTCTTCTCCGTTCTTCGCCAGAATCTTGCCGATTTCCTCTTTAGGCTTGTGGGTTATTTGCTCCTCTTATCTCGCTCTCCCTCACCGTCTTTCTGTCTCGACAAATCYCCGTTTCAGATCGCCGCAAAAATAGATCCAGATCGCATCTCAGGGACCTTCGTCGCAGCGTGGATGTTTTTCTCAGATGACTCAGAGTTCAATCGATGAACTCCTGATAAATGATCAGGTTCGCATCTTAATCTAAACTTTACCATGGGATTTGGTTTACCTTATGTGTACTGGCTTGATTTCATACTCGTGCTGCTTTTTCCRCTTCTGCACAYAGATTTGGTTCTCAAGCACGAGATCTCTCTTTGAAGAAGAATAGTTTCTTGCCCCCAATCAATCATAAACAAGACGATAGCCAGATGTCTGCGTCTAGATCCTCGAGTGGTCTTACGAGAAGATGGAGTTCTGTGAGTTCTATGATTGTTTGATTTTAAGTACACCAGAGACAATAATCTTACTCTTTTAAGAATGTGATATTGGCAAGAGTAATTAACTGATTGGCATTGTTTGCTCTAATAGATTTATCAATATGTTGAAGAGCATTCCACTTGAGTGTTGATCGTATCTTGAAGAATTCCTCTATAGCTCATGTGAGGTCTCAATAGATACGTAGCTGACTTTATAGTTTCATGTGTTTACTGCAGCTCAAACGGATACACCAAAAGTTGACTCTCCAAGAAATTTGTTTTTTTCAAGTT